TGCATGTGACTCTCAATGTAGCACTTTAGGATAAACACTGGACTGCTAACCAAAAGGTCGGTGGTTCAAACCCACCAGCTACTCCTCAGAAACACTATACAGGGTCTCTGTAAGTCAAAACTGACTTGATGGTCCTTAAAAACAACAACAATTGGCATGTGAAAGATACACAATGAATGAGAAAACTCAAAGAATTAACACCTTTGGATTACACCGTTGGAGAATATTGTATATACCATGGACTCCCAGAAGAACTTCTGTTTTAGAAGTATAGCCAGAATATTTCTTAGTAGAGGGGATGGCGAGACTTAGTCTCCCATACTTAGGACATGCTATCAGGAGGGAGCAGTCCTTGGAAAAGGACAACATGCTTGGCAAAGTAGAGGGTCATTGAAAAAGAAAAAGAGGAAGACTCTCAGTGAGATGAATTAACAGCACTGCAGTGATGGGATTAAACGTAGTAACAATTGTGAGGAGGGTGCAGGAAGGAGCAGGCAATGTTTTGTTCTGTTGCAGTCAGTATGAGTTAGGACCAACTTGGCAGTACCTAACAGCAACAACCCACTTACGCAGCCTTTATTAATAACATGAATTTTAGCATCCTTGCTTTGAAATTATGCAAAACACTCTAGAGTTTGGATTTTTAGGTCTGATACGTCTTCAATATCATTTTTTAATTTGAGTCTTGATATACAGTTATATACCTGATATCTCTAAATGTTTTTGTTGGTGGTGGTTGGTTTGGTTATATTTAAGAAGTCTTAGCCTGGTGTGGCACTGTAGGAAAGGCAGAGGACTGCTAACTGCAAGGCCAGCAGTTCTACCAGAAACTTTATTCAGGGTTGTTGTGAGTCAGAATAAGAAATACCATAGAAGAACTGATGCATTTGAGTAATGATGTTGGAGAATATTAAAAGTACTATGATTTGCCAGAAGAACAAGCAAATCTGTGATGGAAGAAGCACAACCAGAATGCTCCTTAGAAGTCCTAATGGCCAGGCTTTGTACATATTATTAGGAGGGACCAGTCTGGAGAAGGACATCATGCTTGGTAAAGTGTAGGGTCAATGAAAAAGAGGAGGACCCTCAATGAGATGGGTTGACACAGTGGCAGCAGCAATGGGCTCAAGCTTAGCAACCAATGATTGTGAGGATGGCACAGGACTAGGCAGTGTTTCATTCTATTGTGTTTGGTGTCACCATAAGTTAGAACTGACTTGATGGCACCTAATACCAACAACACCTGAGACCACACCAGCAGCTCCACGCCACTGAGCTCTGCACTAGAGGCTCTGAGATTTTGATGCTTGAGTCCACCCAGCTAAGAGTGGCCTGAACACAAACAGGGTTTGCTGTGACACGACGCTGCGATGCAGATCTCCAGCCTCAGCAAGGTGAAGATTTACAGTCTCAGCTGCGGCAAGTCCCTTCCTGAATGACTTTCTGACAGGAAGAAAACAGAACTACAAAAGAAAGATGTTGATGTTCGTAGGAGAATTGAACTAATTCACAATTTTGAAATGCCAACTGTTTATACTACTATTAAAGTATCAAAAGATGGACCGTATATTTTAGCAACTGGAACATACAAACCTTGGGTTCGATGTTATGACACCTATCAGTTATCCTTGAAGTTTGAAAGGTGTTTAGATTCTGAAGTTGTAACCTTTGGAATTTTATCTGATGACTATTCCAAGATTGTCTTCTTATGTAATGATAGATATATTGAATTTCACTCACAACAAGGTTTTTACTACAAAACCAGAATACCAAAGTTTGGGAGAGATTTCTCTTACCGCTATCCATCCTGTGACTTGTACTTTGTTGGTGCAAGCTCAGAAGTTTATAGATTAAATCTAGAACAAGGACGATACCTGAATCTTCTATAAACTGATGCTGCAGAGAATAATGTTTGTGACATCAATTCCGAGCATGGTTTGTTTGCCACTGGAACAGTGGAGGGTCGAGTAGAGTGCTGGGACCCATGAACTTGAATAGAGATGGCCTCTTAGACTGTGCACTAAGTAATGTCACAGCAGATTCAGAGATAAACAGTATACCAATAATCTCAGCTTTGAAATTCAATGGTGCCTTGACCATGGCAGTTGGAACATCCAAGGGGCAGGTTTTATTATATGCTCTTCAATCTGATAAGCCATTGCTAGTTAAGGATCACCAGAATGGTCTGCCTATTATTAAGTCAGTTAATTTCCAGGAGTTATTAGATTTTATTTTGTCTGCAGACTCTCAAATTCTCAAAATGTGGGACAAGAACTCTGGAAAAATATTTACTTCCTTGGAGTCAGAATATGACATTAAGGATGTCTGTCTCTATCCCAACTCAGGAATGCTTCTTACTGCCAATGAAACCCCCAAGATGGGCATTTGTTATGTTCCGGTTTGGGGCCCTGCTCCCAGGTGGTGTTCCTTCTTAGACAATTTGACAGAAGAATTAGAAGAGAATCCAGAAAGCACAGTTTATGATGATTATAAATTTGTCACCAGGAAAGACCTTAAAAATTTAGGGCTCACACATCTCATCGGATCACCTTTTCTTTGGACATAAATGTATGGATTTTTCATGGATATAAGACTTTATCACAAGATAAAACTGATGGTAAAGCCATTTGCTTATGATGAATATGTTGTTGTTGTTGTTAAGTGCCGTCGAGTCGGTTCTGACCCATAGCGACCCTGTACAGGGTTTCCAAGGGTGTAAATCTTTACGGGAGTAGAAAGCCTCATCTTTCTCCCACGGAGCGGCTGGTAGTTTCGAACCGCTAACCTTAAGGTTCGCAGTTAAAGAAATTGCCAAAAGTTAACAAAGCTGGCGCTTAAATTAATTGAGGAAGAAGAGGAGAGGCAGAAATCTATGTGGAAAAAGAAAGTTAAGAGCCTTCCTAATATTCTCACTGAGAATCAATTTAAAGGTATGTTTGAGAACTCTGATTTCCAAGTTGATGAAGAGAGTGAAGAATTTAGAGTTTTGAATCCACTTGTTTCAAAGATTCATGAAAAATAGAAAAAGAAACTAAGACTTGTTAGAGCAACAAGAACGTCATGAACAAGAAGATGAGGAAGAACTAGAAGGGAAACCAAGTGATTCAGAAAGTTCGGAGAGTTCAGATGATGAAAAGGACTGGGTTGAAGAGGTCAGGAAACAGCCCAGACTTCACCAAGAGGAAAAAAAGAAGTGGCAGGAACGAGTCAAGGAGGACCAGCAGACAGTTCTGAAGCCCCAGTTTTATGACATCAAAGCGGGAAAAGAATTCAGAAGCTTCAAAGATTCTACTTCAAAACAGAAACTGATGATAAAAACCCTTGAAGATCATTTGAAACTTGAAGCAAAAAATGGGACATAGAATGTATCGGATATCACTGTTGGCAGCAAACAATTGACATTCACGTTAAAAAGGTCTGAACAGCAGAAGAAGCAACAGGAGGCTGAGAAACTGCATCAATAAGAGAGGAAGAAGCTTCGCCATTCAGCTGTCACCTGAAGTTAAAGCACAAGCGAGGACAGCTATTTCATTGAGTTTGGAAATGTCTCCACAAAACATCTGTGTTTAAACGTCTATGATCCCGAAGTATGATTTGGAAGGAGCACATCACCACAAAATGATCATTAGGGTCTGTGTATATTAAACCTTTTTAAAGTTTCTATGTAAATTCTTGATACATTCACTGAGGGTAAAGACTTTATAACTTGTTTCTTTGCCTCATGATTGGACTTTGAAGATTGGGCTCACACCAGGTGGTTACTGCACAGACCCCAAGGTGCATTTTGTAAGTTGTTGTTCCTTTATAAACATTGTCTCTCTTCCCTAGATTTTAACCAAGTAAACCAGGTTGTTTCTGATTTTTTATACTGTAAAATGTATACGATGAAATGAAAGGTTTATCTTGTACTAAAATCTAAATTAATCATGTGCTTTTTTTTTTTTTTTGCTACAATGCCTACTGCCATTTATGATTAAACCACACAGAAATGTGTCTGTTTTACTTGATTGTATACATGTATATTCACATATATTTTTTTAAACTTCAGAGTATTTTACTATATGATTGATACATAATTTCTTTAACTGCCCCTATTGATGATTATGGAGTCCTGGTGTGATGCTGTGGGATAATGTGCCAGACTGCAAAGCCGTTTGAACTGTAAGATCAGTGGTTCAAGCTCACCAGCTGCTCCTTGGAAACCCTATACACGGTCGCTATGGGTCGAAATCGACTCAACGGCACTTAACAACAACAACAATACTACCAACAACGAGTCAGAACTGACTCAACAGCACTTAACAACAACAAACCTTGAATTGAGACCCTGAAAATGTATTCTCCTGTGATCCCATTTTGCTTGTCACTCAGGTTTCTCCCACCTCGATGTCATGCTTGTGGAATGCTATGACCCAAAAGGTGACCAGTGGAACATTCTCCAGACTCCTATTTTGGAAGGCCGAAGTGGGCCTGGCTGTGCAGTGCTTGATGACAGCATTTACCTTGTTGGTGGTTACAGCTGGAGTATGGTATGTGTCCACATTTGTCTCGCCATCATACACTTGTTTATGCTTGCTTTTCCTGTTTGCTTCCAAATGTATTATAACACTCACGTCTTTATCTCTTTTTTTTTTCTAAATTGTATTGATTTTGGTGGTGGTGGTGAAAATATACACAGCAAAACATTCACCAATTCAACATTTTCTACTTGTACAATTTGGTGACATTGATTGCATTCTTCCATTGCATTCTTATCCTCCTTTTCTGAGTTGTTCCTTTCTCAATATAAACTCATGGCCCCTCTAACATTTCTGTCTAATCTGTTGAGTTGCTATTGTCACATTTATCCCATGTAGATAATTCTTATAAGAGCATAATGCTCAAGGCAGACCTTTGTTTACTAATTAAACTATTGTTCAATTTTAAGATGACCTCAGGGAACTTCTTTTGTTTATCATACTTATATACAAGTGGTAAATTATTTGAGTAATAAAATGGAATCCGTTTGCTTGCCCTAGCGCAAAGTTGCTGACCCATCAACCGTAGCACAGATCTCTGGTTCATGTTTATTCGTATGCTTTTTTAAATCTGGTTTCCCAACTGAAGTCAAACTGAAGTGATTTCATAAACTTGCTGTTAAATTTGCTTGAATAGGATAATCTGAACAGTTTCTGACTTGGATAAGAAATGGAAATTAATTGTTCAGTGCCTATGATTTCTATTTGGGATATATTTTGCAATTATTTTTACCTTTTTTTTTTCCTTTTTAGTCTGAAAATTTTTTAATATACACAGAAATTGAGATTATAAGGGTTCTTCTTTATCCGCCCATCCAGCCTCACCATCCATCAACAGTTTGCCATACTTACTTCATCTAGCCCTCTAAAATTTTTGACTAAAACAAATTCCTCACATCATATTATTGCACTTTTAATGCTCAGTATGTGTCTCACAAAAAAACAAAACTCGTTCTCTTACATAGGCATGCTATCCATATCACATCTAACAAAATGAACAATAATTCCTTTATAGCCAAATTCACATTTTTTCCTACTGACTTGGGGGAAAAAATGTCTTTTTTAAGTTGACATGTTCAAATCGGAACAGGTTCCACTCAGATTTAGTTATTATGTCTCATGATGTCATAAAGCATTATGTCTAGTGATAACAGTACCTCTGTCACTTCTTGCCCCATTCCATTGACTTGGTGAACGAACAGGGTTAGCTATGTAGAATACCCAACATTCTGGAATTGCCTAATGACTTCTTTGGGATGTCATTTAAAATAATCCTATCTGCATATTTCCTGTAGACTGGAGATTAGATCTAAATTCTTACTGTCCAGCTTGTTTCTCTTTTGCCTTTTTTCATTTCTTTTGTTATGTTGTTGTTGTTGTCAAGAACACATAAGGATCTGTCTGTACAATTCAAGTTTATACATGCTGATTTTATAAAGTTAATTTGGAGTCCTAGTGTCAGTTATTTGGTATTTCTTTTACATCAAACAAGGTGGTCATAAAAAGTTTTGGAGGAGTTTTCAAAAGTTATTAGTTATATTGAGACAAATATGTGGTTTGGGAGGCATTTTAAAAAGTTCTTAGTCATATGGAGGCAAAGATGTGTTGACATATAACTAAATAGTCATATATTTGCTTGTTTACTGGTACAAATTGCTAGCTGAAGACAGGAATATATATTTAGGAATCAGACACTAGGAATATATTTGCAATAAATTATTATTAGGTTGATTGGTTTTTCTATGTTTCCTGTGATGAAAATGAAGCTTCTTTGGTTTGGGGAAGGGAAATGTTATATGAGTGCTAGCTCTTAAGTTTGACAAAGAAAACAAGATTAAAAACATTTTCAATTTCTTGTGTGGCCTCTTGAAAATGAGTGAGTCAATGTGAGAAGTAGGCAAAACTTCATAGCCAGTTTACTTAAAATTGATTTTGAATCCTGATCCTGAGTTTCCACAGTAACAAAATATATGGAGAGGAGGAGCAACAATCAAAAATCCAGTTTACTTCAAATATTTGAATACTTAAGGTGAATTTGTCTTTTTTCTTTAACCCAAACCAGCTGGATAGTTTCAATTATTGATCTGTTCATTTGAAGGATTTGTTCAGCATCTAGGATGTTCTAGGTACTTGACTTCTGTTATTCGTTACACAAATACACACAAAAGATTTTGGAATCTTGTGACTTTCAAATTGTCCCTTACAGTAAAACAGTTAAACATTCATGATTTCAGTTAGAGTTTTGTTTTAGCAAGAGCCGAGAAGCCATCTTCCTTCCAGTGTAAATGCAATCAATAATGTTACTGTGTTACTTCTCTGAACAGCCTGCTCTAAGTGTTCCCTGCTCTGCCATTACAGGGGGCCTACAAGTCATCTACAATATGCTACTGTCCAGAGAAAGGAACCTGGACAGAACTTGAAGGAGATGTAGCAGAACCGCTTGCAGGCCCCGCGTGTGCAACCGTTATCCTGCCCGCCTGTGTACCGTACAACAAGTAACGTCAAGAGACCCTGGAATGGACAGTATCACATTCTGGGAAGCAGTGACAGATGACATCACCATTATAATGGAACCGTACATTCTAATGATACAACTGCCCAAACCCACCCTTGGTTTCTAATGAGAGATTTACAAATAACCACAAATGAAAGTGGCCTGTTCTTGAACAGGTACTGATCACACCAAACTTCCCGTGGTGACAGACTCTTCCATTTCAGACTGGTTTTAAATGTGTCCCAGCTTTACAAAAACTTCTCACCTGGATTTTAACTTTTCAAAAGGAGAATTATAAAACACTGAAGACTTCCCCCAGAGAAACCTAAGATCAGTATTGTGCATTGTAGTCTACCTGCATGTGATCTATGTTGACGTTTTGGGGATATTGTGTTCATGAATGATTCAAAATTTGACCCACCTAAAGATATACACAGCATTACAGAAATTGCCACTTGATTCTGTATTCCTAATCTTTGACTACTTCACAGACTCTGTAAGTAACCCAGTTCTAGAAAATTGTGTCAGATTAAAGAGGTGAATTTTCATTTCGATACAACTCCATTTTATATACCTTCTGCCCTTGCAGCACCTCATGGTACCAAAGAAGACAAAAATGTCTCTTATAGCAACTGTGTTCTGCCCTGTGGGTTCTAGGCTAGACAGAGGCATAATTTCTGTATCCTCAACCTTGTCTGAAAGATTAAAAAAAAAATGTTACTATTAAATTCATAGAAGCTTATGCTTTCTCATTTTTTGTAGTATCTACGTAGTGAAAACACCAATATTTGACTGACAAATTTAGTCATAAAATTTTGATAAGGTTCTATTGGTTAACACATCTGACCCAAACTTAACTAACCATCATAAAAACTAGGAAATTACTTTCAGAAATTTAGCAACAAAAGGAATGAATGAGTTGTTTAAAATAGAATCTGAGTTGCCTGTCCCTAAAATACACAATGCAATGTTACCTGAAAGGATGCTCAGGAAAAGCACATGATTTACAGTCAATAGCCTTCCAACTCATCGTACTTCCTTTACTATCACCAGCTATGCCTGAACCCAGTTAATTGAGCAAGTGCTATGTTGTCTTTAAGACCATGAGGAAATTAGGAGCAGAAGGACAGAAGGGCATGTGGTAGTCTCCATTTGGTAAATCAAATGGGCAGAACTGGCAGAAAGATAAATTTGATTTTTCAAGCTCTTAAGAACTTAAACAGCGACAATTAGGAGCGAATAAAAGCATAAAATATTGCTTGTAGTCCCTCAACAAATGTGCCATTTGAAACAACAATATGGGGAAGCACAGATTAAGATATCTTGGGGATAAGTTTTCATTGTGGAGCATGTCAAGATAGAGTGGGTATACTGGAATCCAATGCCGTTTCTACAGTAAAGTGCAATCTTCATTGTTTTTGTATTTATTCGTATGTTCAGATCCAAAGGATCCGTTGTAAAATATATACATATATAAATATATATATGCAGTGCAATCAACTTTCATTTCCTTTTCCTTTAAAGCATATGACTATATAGAAAAAAAGAAATTACAGTACTTTGTGGGGAAATCCTAGTTGATATCATGAAGGAAATAAGGTCTGATCAGAATCTTGTATCATCAACTGTCACCATTTCTTCTCAAAGTCACAGTTTATATAAGAATATTTGCTTTCCTTAGACTGGTTCTTGATTTTTTTAGCCAAAATAAATAAAAGCATTTATGAGAACTATAAGTAAAGCTTGTAGTTTTCAGAAAGACACAACCTATTTGGAAGTGAAAAGTAAGTAAATAAGTCACAGAGAATGTAAATTTTGTACAGTATTAGAATGTGTAAATGAAGCTTGCTTGAAAGGGGAAAACTTTAAATAAAAACTTTATGTACGAATTCAACTGTCTCTCATATTCCTACTTATAAAGCATATGTATAAATCTCGACTTTAAATTCTTTGAAGGTTTATAATACAGAAATGCCTAAATATTTGTATTCTTCAGACATGCTTTGCAAGTGTGTTTTACTTCCTAGCTATATGTAAATGTACACAGTACAGACAATGCTATAATTTATGGAATACTTATGGCAAAATGTTGTAAGATAAAAATCAAATTAGTTGAATATGATTTGTTACAATAATGAGTAACTCATCTAGGCTCTAATAGCAAGATACTTAAAGAAATCACGATAAGCACCATATGTACTACATAATCCCTGCACAGTCTCCAAAATGTACGTGAATTAAATCAATTATCTAAATGTATAGTATTTAATTTGATTCTCTTTTTCAAAATCTAGCAAAATTTGTGCTGAGCAAGGAAACCTGAGGAGTAATGATTAAGAGTTTGGCTGTCAATCAAAAGATTGGCAGTTAAAATCCACCTAGCAACTCTGCAGGAAAAAGACCTAGCAATCTAATCTCATAAAGAGTCCATACAGCCTACAAAACCCTGTGGATCCATGTAACTCTTTCACATGAGTTCACTATAAGCCTTCACTCCATGTCACCTAACAAAAGCACTAAGGAGAGAGGCTATGAAAGATAATCGGAGATATTAAGGCATGCAGCTGAGGTGGGCAGTCCCCAACCAAACAACTGTGCAGGGTCAGGAGCTATTTCCTAAAGCCTGAAAACTAGGGAGAATTTCCTTTATGACTTCCCAGCCAAATCTATCATTGTTTATGATTGAACTCAAAGGATCTTTTGGTCCTCCTTGGGAGTCCTGGTGTGGCACTGTGGGTTAATGTGCTGGACTTCAAAGTCATTTGAACGACAAGGTCAGTGGTTCAAGTTCACCAACCGCTCCTCGGAAGCCCTATACAGGGTTACTATGAGTCAGAAACCACTCAACAGCACTTAACAACAACAACAAGACTATGGAAGCAAAAGCAATGGAGTTGATTTCTTCCTCACTGGATCTTCATCTCTCTCAATGCTAGTATTGTAGTTAAGTGCCATCAAGTTAGTTCTGCTTCCTAGCAACCCTATATATAAGGTTTCAGGAACAACTGGTGAGTTTAAAGCATCTACCTTGTGCTGAGCAGTCCAGTGATTATCCTATGCCTTTTAATGTAATCTCCATTGGCACCTTCTTCTGAGTCAAAGTATATATAGTTACTGCAGGGTTTCTTCCAAATACCCAGAGTTACCAATGGTTCTAGTACTGACTATATAGCATGAGCAGTTAAGTAATACACATGTTTTTTCCTAATTCCTAAGGTGCATCTGGACTCCTGGTGTGGCATTGTACGATCATTGTGGACTTCAAACCACAAGGTCAGCAGTTCACAGTCACCAGCTGCTTCTCAGCAACCCTATGCAGGGTCGCTAGGAGTCGGTACTGACTCTATGGCACTTAACAACAACAAGCATCTAGTTTAAGTCCATAGCTAAACTGTATACTTCATGTCCTATTGTTGGTTAATACTTGAAGAAATTTAAGGTGGCAATAAAAGATACTCTTTCTAAGAATATGCCTTAAAACTGGTTGATACCTGGGAAAGTAAACATAAACTTCAATTTAATACATGGCAAACATTTACTTCCCAGCTGTTTGTTACTTAGATCACTTAACAAATAGTCCTCATTACAAACATTAGTTTTGAAAAGTTAAAACTAGTTTTCACCATCGGCTAAAATAAATCATGACTAAAATGGAAAAGAAGCTATATTGGTTTTTCAATAGTCCTGGTGTGGTGCTGTGGTTAATGTGCTGGAATATAGTCGGTTTTAACTGCAAGATTGGCAGTTCAAGCTCACAAGTTGCTCCTCAGAAACCTTATACAGGGACGTTATGAGTCAGAACCAACTCAACAGCCCTTAACAACAACAACAACACTTTTATAATATATTCCAAAACCAAATATAATACATTTGAGAGAATTCTTGCCGCTGTTATCCTGGTATATATAAAGCTGATACAGAGTTCAGGAATCTTTGGGTGGTGCAAAAAATTAAGCGCTTAGCTACTATTTGGAAAGTTGGTCGTTCAAATCTTCCCAGAGGTAGCTTGGAAAAAAACCTTGGAGATCTACTTAGGAAAGGTCACAGCTATGGAGAACCATATGCACAGTCCTACTCTGATTCATGGTGATCTCATGAAAACACTTTTCACCTCGTAAACTCCTGAGGAAAACACACATATTATCTATTAAGATGCAATGACTAAAGTACAAAGTCTTACCTTTAAGCCTAGTATACAAGAGACTTTATAGTCTGGCCTCAACCTCACATTCAAGTACTTTACCTCTCTGTTCATTAAAAAACAAAGTGAACCCTTGCTGTTTCACAAGCATAGCATTTTGTGAAAAGGCTATCTTTTTTTTCTTTTTCTTTTTCTCATCTTTTCCCTTTTTCTTGTGTATATTCTCCACACGGAATGCCCTTTTATGTTTAACACTGCCAATTAAAATCCAATCCTTCCACGTTCAGTTCAAGTTCCACCTTCTCCTCTATTAAACCTTCATGATCACATCAGTCTTGTATAAATGTTTTCATCTAAAACTCTGTGACCCTCTCTTACTTTACCTACCTAACCATATTTATAACATTTTGTGTCTTATACATTTATAGACTCAGGGTGCTTTGAGGATAGAGATAATATGTAATGTGTCTTAATGTGCCATTGTTCTTCTTGTTAAAGTACTGTCAAATCAGTTAGAACTCATAGCAACTCTCTCTAGGGTTTCAGATGAGTGACTGGTGGATTTGAACCACTGACTTTTCAGTTAGCAGTCTAGTACTTATCCTACTACACCTCAAAAAGGCTAGGAAACCATGAAATATTTGTTGAATACAGGTACTGTTTTTTTTTTAATTTACTATAATCTAGTTTGGAACATTTTAGGAAATAGAAGAGAAGAAGAAATCAAGTATCTTTAGTCCATCATCGAACATAACTTTTATTTTTTATTTTTATTTTAGTGTGAACGCTTTCCATTCTTTATCATTTGTACTTTTTGTATTTTGTACAACTGAATTTACATCTTGACATTTTAAATGTCTAGGATTTTGCAAGCATGTTTCCATGTTACTAACTGCCCTTTAAGTTTTAATAATTGCATAGTATGCTTAACAAATGTTCAAACATTGGCAACTTTTGATTTATGCACTGGTGCCACAGACAGCCCTCACACAGCATTCTTATGTGGTCTTTGTGATTCCCTCCCATTCATTTTACTCCACAGCTCATGTTCTCCCTAACTAAAAATATCATTTCACCATAATACTTTGAAAGGCATAAAAGCTCGGCTCTCCAGAGATATTCCTTATTCAGTTCATCTCTGGTCCTTTTCCTCATTTAACATTTCTGATGAGAAATGCTGCAACTCCCTCAGCCTCCAGGCCCTTCCAGAATAGTTGTGGTAAACTGTATTTTCCTTGT